TCTCCAAAGACTTACAAATGGCCAACAGGAATATGCAAAGGCCCTCCCATCAGTAATAATCATTTGATTTTCAAATGCAAATCAAAACCACAGTGAGTTATCACTTCACAACTGCCAGGATGGCTATTACAAAACAAACAAAAGATAAGTTTGCTGAGGATTTAGAGAAAAGAGAACCACTGTACACTGTTGGTGGGAATGTAAATTGGTACAGTCATTACAAAAAATAGTATGGACGTTCCTCAAATAATTAAAAGTAGAACTACCATATGATCTAACAATCTGACTTCTGGGTATATATCTAAAGAAATGGAAATTAGAATCTCAATGAGAGATCTGTACTACCATGTTCACTGCAGCATTATTTACACTAGCTAAGACGTAGAAGTAACATAAATGTCCATCGATGGATAACTGGATAAAGAAAATATATTTTTATACAACGGAATATTTTTTAGCTTTAAAAAGGAAGGAAATTATGCCATTTGCAACAACATGGTTAAACTTGGAGGACATTATGCTAAGTGAAATAGCTAGACACAGAAGGACAAATACTGGATGGTCCCACTTTTATGAGGAATCTAAGTCAAATTCACACAAACAGAGAATACTAGGATGTTTTTCAGAAGGCAGAATGGCTGGGGGAAGTGTGAAACACATTAGTGAAAGGGTACAAAGCTTTTATTATACAAGATGACCAAATTTTAGAGATCTACTGTACTGTGTAGTGCGTATAGCTAACAATACTGTATTATACACTCGAAATTTTGCTTAGAGGGCACATTCTGTGTTAAGTGCCCTTATCACATTCATATACACAAAAGTAATGTGAACTTTTTTGGCTACAGTAGCTCAGTTTTGTTTTAATTTGCATTTCTCTAATTATGAATAAGTTTAAACATTTTTTCATACATTGAAGGGTTCTCTTTATACTGCTTTCAGTAAATTGTTTTTCAGGTCTTTTTTCCTTTCTAAATTTAGCTTTTGGTAGTGTTATAACTTTTTAACCAAATGACTACAAAACATTCACAGCTCTGTGACAGAGAGATTCTTGTTATTCTTCCAATTAAAACTAATCATTTAAAAAAGGATTCATCATACAACTGCCATTGATGGCCACATTGACTTTCAAGAACTAAGAACATGTGAGATTTATGGTTGCAAAACTTCATTTAATTTCTTCAAATGTAAATTAGATTTAAACCATAGAAGAGTCAAACCACAAAACAAAATGTGGATTATAAAATATTGAATAGTCTCTTAAAAAACTTGTATTACAAGAATAACGTTCAATATAGCAATAAAAAATATCACCCTGTAACTAATAAGCAGATGGTATATAAGGAAATATTAACTAAAGGAAGCGTGGTGTAGTATAAATATAGACATTTTAGTTAGGGATATTTTAACACCTGGTTCTGTGTTTATAACTTAAAGTGTTGGAAGCGGTATGCTCTGTGTAAATTGAGCTATTGCTCTTTGAAAATATTATCTTTGAATACTTTTTATTTAATCACCTAGTAGACTGGGTAAATGATACATTAAACTAAAAATGACATACACAATTTCTTTACAGATATCTCGCCCTATCTTTTAGAACTGTAGTGGTGACACACAGAAAGAATCTGAGATTTTTCACTCTGCGTAGAGCAGGAGAGAAACTTGAGTAAAAATGCAGTTCTGCAAAGAGAGATATTTTCAACGTCTCACTTCCCGTTCACAACCAGTACCTTTGCAAAAGGTTAAAATTAAGAAAATAACAGTCATATTAGGTCAGAACTGTCTCAAGACTCGGGAAAATTTCCAAAGCTCTTTTTAAAGTTAACTTGGAAGATAGAGTCATGGTGAGAAATGAAATGGAACATAATTTTCCTTAAAAAAGTACCTTCAGGGTGGCAAGATTTTCATTATGTTTTACAGAAGTATACACTTAAGCCTCAAATTGTATTCCTGTTAATGTTATTTCTGATGAATGTAAAGGAATCTGTGATGAATGCTTATTGTTCTCAGGATGACTAGAGAAAGCTTTAAGCAATCCCTGTCGTTGAAAATAAAACTCATGAGTTGCAGGTGTTACCTTGAACACACAGGGTCAATTCTACACCTGTCCCCGCCTCTTGTCTGGCACCACACTGGGTCGGTAGTGAGAAGAAGGGCTGCCTCATTCCCTCCCTAGAGTGACATGTCCGAGGCTCCACAGCAGCAGGGTTTCCACCAGAGAGGAGAAAACCCCTCTCAGAAACTCATCCATCTGTAAGGCATCAATCAAAAGTCCCGAGTCTCTGGGTGAAAGTTATCTTAGCTTGAATGCTAAGCCACTTACAGTGTGCATGAGATGGCAGAGGCAGAAGACAGTGGTTGATTTGATTAAGAGGGGAATACAGCCCAAAACTTGATTGTGATCCTTTAGCCATACTGTATCAAAGTTCTACCAATAAATAAATATTGTACAATGAAAACAATAGATGCGGCAGGCTAAAGATCCTTTGACAGCCATCTTTGTTTACTGAGTGTAGTTGAAAACAGTGACAGGTAAGAATGAACCTTGAAACTGGAAGCAGAGTCCTGAGCAATTCGACTTAGTGGTGAGACCTGAGTGACCAGGGGCAGGTCAGACTCAGGTGGATTTCCATTCCCTCATCTGCAAATCAGCAATAACAACACCTTCCCGAAGCTCCCCCAGGGTTGTTGTGAAAATTCAACAGGAGCTGGAAGAATGGACTAGAACCCTCAGGGTGACACCTAGACTACCGTCAAACTAAACAGAATTTTTTGCAACTGTTTTGAGTCACCAAAATCTCTCCCTCATCAGGCTCATACCTGACTATAAATATTGAAATGACGAAATGAGATGATAAACCGAAAATACTTCAAATCATATGTCAGGGTAAAGTACTACTCATTTTTAGATATTCACAAATTAGTCAATGATTAATAAACATTTGTGGAGGGGGTATTTATGCCCATGCAATTTTGTTTGAGAGCCACTGCTGCAAATGGACTCCCGTCTCTGTCACTTTGCCATCTGAAAGCCACGTGCTGATCATCTTCTTCTATAATGACGGAAATTTGTTGGACCAGAAGCTAATCTAACCCTAACCTAACCCCCCCTAAAAAAATTGCTGGTTTATCTCACTGGCTATCCATATATGAATACTATGTAATTATGATTAAGTCAACGGCTGAGATGACTGTCCTTTAGTTAGTAACCGGTGGTAAACAGATTTTGCTCATGAACGACTTTTTGTATAACCACACTTTAAGATGTTCCTTAGATGTGCATGCTGGTAGAGAGGAATAAGGACACCAAGAGGCAAAAACGAATGCGAAAAAAACCAAATGCCCTTTGTCTTTGCGTTGGAACCCACCCAGAAGCACAATCTGGTTTAGATACTGATGTTCCTGGGGGTGAGCCCATGTGCATGCACAGATGTGTGTCCACGGTAGTCTCCTTCCGACCTGTGCAGCCACCTTGGACACAGCCAGCGGAAGCACATGATGAATCAACCATTGGCATGGCAGTGTCAGCTCTGTAGTTGCAAATAGCAAATTACTGCCCAACACCCTTCTTGCCTACAGTGTCTCGAGTGTGCTGGACAATGTTATACTCATAACACTTTAGGGACCTCCAATCAAGATTCTGCTGGAATCTTGCTGGAATAAGCAACATAGTAACAACCTGTGCAGTGGTCATCTTGCTGACGTTTCCTCCCTTGGCCCCTTGATGATACTCTACTCCATCTGCTCTGGCAGCGTCCTAGGACATGCTGGAGAGCAGGAAAGGAGCGAATGACAGGGTGGAAAGGGCCATCTCCAGGTTTGCGCCATAAACGTCCCCTCTGTATTGACACTTTTGCTCTGAGGTCCAGTGTCAGCACTGGGAGCAGACCCGGGACAGGACAACCGTTCTGTCACCCTGCTTAAACCGAGAAATGACGATGTGCTTCACTGCAGAGTGCCGGGGTCTGGGGTCTGGGGTCTGGCCTGAGTCGTCACCCAGGCAGTAGCCAGCTGTGCACCTCTGGCAAGTCGCTGAACTTTCCTGGGTCTCATTTTTCTTATCAGTATAATGGTGGGTATGTGGGGAGCTGTGGGGGGGATGCTGGGAGGCCTAGGGCTTTCCCCACGGCATTTGGGATTTCACAGTGTTGTCAAAGCAAGTGAGTGGTCTTTGGATGGGCAGTTGTCGGATCCGTTTGCCTAAATTTCTGGCCACAGTCTAGTCACCAGAAAGCAGAGACAGCCTTGAAGATTTTCTGGAAAGGAGTTTAAGCTATCTTTCTAAAGAGAAATTCGGAAGAAAAGCCTGAGAGGAGAGGTCGAGAGAGAGGCCTAGAGAGAAAAGGGGACGGCCTTATAAGTAAGTTACTGTCAAAGATCTGAGGACATGAAACCCGCTTCACTGAGAAACTGCTGAAGGACAGAAACAACCTCTTAGCCCTGTCAAGTAAACTGCCACTGTGGAGACAAGCAGGATGAAAATGAAAGAAGTTGACACGTGAGCCACTTGAAGGTCTCTCTGAGGCAGAAACATTAACCTCCACCAAGGGGGCTGAGCTGGGTGATCTTTCATGGAGTCAAGAACATGCAGCTTGAACATCCAGCAAAATACACGTCAGTGTAGAGTGCAGTCCACCAATTCATTCTGCAAATGACTTTGGAATCAGACCAATTCACTTCCCAACACTGTTCAGAGAACAAGTTGGATCTTTTAAAGAAAGAATAAGGTAAAACAAACAAACAAGAAATAAAACCAAAACATTAAAATCCTCTCAGCTGGCCTTTACTCAGATGGCCAGCAGTAATTATGCATGCAATTGTTAAAAAGACATATTCACAGAAACACTACAATCAAGATTTGCCTATTCAAAGAAATAGTCTTTCCTTCCAAGGAGAGGAACCTGGTTGGCTTTAACATGAACTATAGTCAAAGTGGGGTCTCTTTATCTTCACGAAAAGTCATTCCATGCCAGAAAAATAGTGGAAACAATTTTACGTACCTCTCTTCCCTGAAGGAATCCAACAATTTGGAAGCATGGAATGGAAAAAATGTCATAGTGTTACAACACACTTTAAAAAGAGGTCATTATAATAGTTCTATGTTTCAGCATAGAGTGATATTTACAAGTTATGATTATCTGTGTTCAATAAAATCAACTGTATTTTTGTGGATTAGAAAATAAGTAACATTTCCATTTTAATTGTGTTCGGGTACATTATATTTTAACTAGCCTTTAGTGCTTGTGCGGAGTACATAACATTAATTACATTTAAAAGACAATAGAGTCATTATTTTTATTAGTGCAGGAAAATTAAATGTGATTTTTGTGAAATGAACGGGAATATTTCACCTGTGTAGGTGATATACACTGCACTTGGATATCCAATCGGAATTTTTTTTTAATTCAAAAAGGTCTAATGCTCTAATGATAATGTCTTTTAACAACAGACAAAGACAACACATACATACATTTTATCACATAATAAATTTCATTGTAACACAGCAGTCATACTAGCCTAGAAAAGATTCTCCTGGGAATTCATTTCAAATTATTGAAGCAGCTGTTTCTTCAGTTTAAAATAAAATATCCATAACAACTTCACACGCGACAGATGCGAGGTAAGAACTAGCTTCCACAGTGTGAGCTAAAAGCAGATGTTTCGAATGATCATATTTATAAGCAGATACAATAAATCTTAGTGAGTTACCTATAGCAAGGTTTCACGAATACTCTTTTCTAAAAATTTGCTTAAAGTGTATTTCATTTGATTTCTTATATTTTGCAGAACTAGGCCTCATGAAATATAAATACTATATAAATTCTTATATATCTGGTCTTTTTTATTCTTGCTCATTTCATATGCTTCCTCAAAAATAAAAGCAGTGTTAGGGCACTGAAATTTAATACATTTATTTAATTCGCATATTTCCCCCACACAGTTCAAAGTCAGGAGACTCTTTCTTTAAAAAAATAACCGCATGACCATGAGTAAGAGTGACACATTTAAGTCTCAGAATTAGCAGTTTGCTCGGTGAATGACCGACCACTTATTATCTTTAGCGAATGTCAGTATATAATTAGAACTTTTAAAAACTATAAACAATGCAGGGTTAGTTAAAACTTAAAGAAAAGTTTGATGGTAAGAGTGAAAGACGACAGTTACAAATGTCTTCCATTCAATTTTGTTGTCTTACAGTTGATCACGAGTTTTCCTTCTGTACACTGACTGACTTACAGTTCTAAACTAAGGAATCATGGCTTAGGGGGAAATCCAACTGATCTGGCATCACAGGATGGGGTCATGTTCCAGCTTTGCTTCCTACTAGTTGTACATCTTTAGCAGATCCCATGAGTTCTCCCGGGTTCCTCACAGCATGACTGTTGTCAAGAACAGATATTAAATTACATACAGACCAATCCTTTGTAATATTAATACATAGGAGTGGTATTTCCAGGCAATGCACCTATGTTCTCAGTTCTCTACAGGTAAATGACCAGGTGTGTGTCACAGGCTATGGGTAGGCCCCTTCTTCAGCATTGTTTGTACTATGGCAGAGCATTATGGGTAGCTTTATACGGCAGGGAAAATAAGTCATCACCTCTGAATGATGCTCTTCATTTTGCTGTAAGACTTCTATGCAGAGCTCGGCTAGATGAAGCACGTCCTCCAGCTTTCTAGCAGGACTCGCGTGGTTCATGGTCTCTGTAGTAAAAAGAAACCGGAATAATGTTACCTTAAAAATAAAAAGCCAAACAAATTTTCAGATGTAACGGGGAGACAAAGGTGTTGACATAGAATGAGAAAGGATGTTTTTGCAAAATCAGAGATGCAAGAAACACAAACATGTACATTCTTTTAAAAAAAAAAAAGAAAGAAAACCAGTTCACCAGACTGCAGAAAAATTTCACCCACAAAGCAGTCGCGGGGAATGGCAAGTGCTCAGCCGTTTAATACATAAGAACTAACAGGTGCATCAGCACATGAGATGCTCAACTTCTGCAACAAACAAGTTGTAATTTTGCTCAAGGTCAGAGGCACAAAGAGAGCAGATACCACAGTCTTTTCCTTCTCTCTGTATTGTATTACCAATACAATGCCATTCGCACCAGATGAGTCATGCCTGGCATTTGCAAAACCCATGCTTTTTTGTTGCTATTTAAATTCCCAGCCTGACACGTCTATAGTTCATGTTGATCTTAAATTCAAGAAGTACAAAGTCACCTTAAACAACTCAGACAGCCTGCAATTAACTGATTTCCTCCTCTCCTTCCCTGCCCACCACCACCCTGCCCCCTCTGACTGGGGGTGGGGGGTGAGGGGCGCGTTCTTTGAAGGTGAAGGTTCTTTCAGCATTAAAGCAAACGGATATAAAAAGGCCAGGCCACAATGAGATTAAGTGCAGCTACCTGAAATTCAGTACCACAGAAGGCAAAGTAGTTGATTTCAGAAATACAAAAAACTGGCAGGAATTAGAGGTGCCCTGTGTAATGAAACTGTTTCAACATTGAATGTGAAGAACAGTTTCCAATAAGGTCATTAAAGGTAAACGTCTTAGGTTCATGGAGTCTCTCTTGGCTCCAGTATGGAAGTTGTAAGGAAGTGAAATCAAATTTTCAGGAAAAGAACCTAAGGAGATTCATTTTTTGTCTTCTGCCATAGTTCCCTTTCCCTCAATTTCTCCCTAAAACTTCAGTCTTAACTTTGGAGGAGATTCTTTCATTTGCTCTTAATTTGTTTCCAAGGGATGTACAATGGTGCAGTGGACACTGCTTACGGTTGGAGCTTGTTCATTAAATATTTATTATAAGTTGACTCTAGGTCACAGTGTGATGCACGGGTGACCATCCCCCAACCCTAGGACACGTCCTAGTAAATTCCCCTGCAGGGTGGAAAACCATTGACCGGGATCAAAGAGGTGCGATGGTTCTTCAGGAAAACCAGGCTGCGCAACGCTACATCCTTGAGAGTGCCTACAGGGTTATAGCTGTGCGAAGTATAAGGGACATGTCCCTGATCTTACACAACTCACACCCCAGAAATGGCTATTGAAACGATCCTTAGACATCAACTATCCAACCCGCCATCTGTTTCATGAACGCTTCGATGTCCTCCAACACGAATGGAGTCGGGGAGGCTCAGGACTTTGTGCCACATTCTGCTCCATTCGGGGCAGCTCCAGCTATCAGAGGCTGGACAAGACCAGTAAGGAAGGTGTGCAAACAATGTAAAGCAAACGTAGAAATGATACGGGAGATGTGAGGAGAGAGTGCTGAGAGGAGGTCAATTTCGGGGTGATCAGATGTAACAAATGACCTGGGTTAAGAGGAGGAGCGGTTTCTAGAAATGTTAGTGTGACAGATATGTGGTGCATTTCAGAGGAAGGTGATGGCGATGATGGTTGTATGAGTTACTATTTATTAAGAGCCAATTATGTGTCAGGCTACAGCATTAGGAACTTCCCACAGGGTATCATGCTAATTTTCCTAACAGCTTTGAGTTATTTTTTTTTTATTCATGTAACTTGTAGATAAGAAAACAAGCTTGGAGAGATAAAAATGCAATAGCTAATACATGGGGAAGGTGAGGCCTGAACTTAGTGTGGGCTCTTCTATCTCTGCCTTGTACTTGCCTGGCTGGAGTCCAAACGTGCTGGGCAACGTTAGGGGCGACGGGCCTCAGGCCAGGTTGTGGAAGGCTTTGAGTACGACAATAAGTAGACTGGATAACTATATCCTCTAGATAACCTGGGGATAATGGCTCTTAGCAGGGCTTCTGAATAAATTGATTTTAGGAAAATGTATTTGGTGGTTTTGTAGAACAAGGAAGGATTGGGGAAGTTGTGTAACGCGCATCCTGGGGGTCAGGCCTAGTAATATGGAGGCCTACGGCGAGACAGCAGTGGGAGCAGAGGAGAAGAGGAAGGCGCAGGGAGGCTTTGCAGAGAGAAGTGGCAAGTCCTTGTGAGCGACTAGAAATTGCAGGCCCGAGAGAACGACCCTGAGGTTTAGAGGCTGCATGGCTCAGAGAATGATGGTGCATGGCTGATGAAACTAGGGAATGGGTTTTCTTCAGTGGGCCATCCCCTGTATCTTAGGACTAATTATCATACACGTACTATAATAATAACTGTAAAATCTTCACGCACAGGGAGTTCGGATATCTGGATCCTCTGCTTGGAAAATTCTCCTCATTATTCAAGACCCAAGCTCAATACTACCTGAAATGTGGGACCTTCTCACAGTTCTGGGGCTGAATGCCTGAGTTCTCTATTACAGGCTCAGAAACTGGATCTCTTTATCTTTTATTCGCGATACCTTGAATAGGCTTTGGGTCTTGAAGGTTACTTAGGGAATGTTCACAGAGAATGCAGTGTTGTAATTTTGGGGGAAAAGCATGTTAAAAATAAAATCAATACCCAAATGATTTCACTTAATTTGTGTCGGATTACAAATAGCTCCAATCACTAACACACCAACCATGGACTAGACAGCAAGTCCACAAATGAAATTCAGTTGTAGTCTGAGAATACTGCTCAAATAACTGATGAATGCTGGATTTTCAAATTATTAGAGAAAGCCTTTTTTGGAAAAGAGTTTTCGAAATCATTTTTAATTCTCAAGAGCCTATCACTTATATTCTTGAATTTCTCCATCTTTAGATTGAGGGTGGTGATTTAAGTTGAGGATTCTTAATTCAGGGAGATAAGAAGAGGTTTTAGGGGGTCCTTGAAACCTATGTTTTGTATATAGAGGCATTTTTTTTTGAGAGAGGATTATAACTTTCAGACTCTCAAAGCAGTTCATAAACCAAAGAAATGCTGAGAATCAGTGAACCATATAATCTCTAAGATTCCTTCTAGCTAAAAGATTCTACACTTTCTAGAAATGTGGGCTTTATCTATATTGGATTATATTATTTCAGCATATTTATATATGCTTATATCATGTGTTTTTCATAAGGAAAGGAAAAGGCAACAAAATTTGTTTTTATCACAGAAGAGAAACTTATTTTTCCTACATATATTTTAGTACGCTATTACTGAATTCTCATAGTCATTCTATAAAATAGGGAATCGTGACCCTCATTTCCAGATTAGGAAAAAGTCTTGGAGAGGTGAGAGAAGGTGTCCAAGCTCATACAGATACTGGCTGACATGGGAAGAAATCTTCCCTCCGATGCCACACAAGCAGCAACAATACAACACCTTGAATTCTTTTTCATGTGCAATTCTCTGAATAGGAGTAACACGCACACAACTGCATATATGTATGTATTCAGTAGAAACTTCTGAAGCCGCTGAAAGTTTGAGGAGTTCATAAAGTCCCCACGTCCTCAGCCACAAGTATGCAATAATGGAAAAGAATCACAGAAACCTCACAACTTCATTCTGTTTACATAAGATTGTATCAAAACCAGCTTTTACATTTGACATCACCTTAAGTAAAAACTCTGAGAGAACCCTGTGTCCTACTGAAACTTAAAAACAGTCTAAAACATTTTATTCTTTCTAGATTAAATGTATTGAGAAGATCAAACTTGGTACTTGAACATAATGGACACTCTAATACTGTAAATAAATAGCATTTTTATCAAGTACACTATGTATGCCATCTCAGGCTGTCATCCATTTGACAACACCCAAGCAGGTTAATGCATTCTACTGTCAGAACTCTGTTAGATAACAAGGTTATCAATAGCTCCGTTAAAATTCTGAACACTGTGAATATTTGAAAATTCCCCCTTAACATGCTCACTTTCACTCTTTTGGTAACATTTCTACAGCATTACAGATGTCTCTATATTCTTCAAGCTTCACACCAAGTCGCTGATTGTTGTAATACATTTCAAACAGTGACATTTAAAATAAATATGCCCAAAGTAGCAACGTTTCTTGATGAATTTTAATGCATTTCACTTTGCTACAGCCTCTCTTCATTTTTGAACATTTTTACTTTTCTATGAAAACACTCCTTGACTCCTTGAAGCAGCGCTTTTTACTTCTACCTCTACATTTAGATCTCACTGGACAAAAGATAGGGAGGTGGGGAGATGTAAAAGGACAGCCTGACCGCTGTGCTTCCCAGGACATTCTCCTCGGCTGCCTCCCTTCCTGCCATTTCCTGTCAAAGTTCCTAGTGGTGCACACACAATGATGCTTACGGTGACAGTTAGTTATAAGGGGACATGGAGAGAAAGCCAGTGAGAGCCCTTTATTTCCTTTTTCTCCTTATGGGACATGTAGAAATGTGGACTGTGTTTGACCTTAATTTTTTTTTTAAAAGATTTTATTGGGGAATTGGGAGAGGGCAACAGACAAGTTATGTCCTTTTGTTCTAGTTGTGGAGAATGTCGCTTCACTGGCCCATGTTGGTATTATCATTGCGCTCTTCCCAGGTGAGGCAGTCGCTCGCCAGCCATTAGGCAGCCACTCATGGTGGCTCACGAAAGTTCATGCCCGCTGCTGGCCAGCCCCACTGCAGCCTATGCCATCGCCGGCGACTCACGGCAGTCCAGCTCCAGGTCGAGCTGTTGTTCACCATCTTAGCTGTAGAGGGCGCAGTGTCACTGGCCCTCATGTGGGATCCGAACCAGGATCCTGCTGCTCAGAGCTGGTGTCCCAAGCCAACTCTTAACTAACGCGCCACTCAGCCGGCCCTGACCTTAATTTTTAACAGACTGATTCTATCTGTGCATGCAGCTAA